CAAGACCTCCGACAGCAAGCTCCAGGGTCTGCAACTGGGACGCCGTGGGCACAAACGCTTCGACACCAGTAAGTGCAGTGTTGACTACGTGACGCAATAGAACGCATCTCTTCCACCTGTACGGCACCCCCTTCTGGAACCAGAACTGCCCCATCCTGTAAAACGCACCTTTCATGGCTTTGATCCGTTTCACGAGCTCGACACTGAAGCTCTGGGTGGGAGTCAGATACGGCCCCAGGTACCGCACCTCATCCGTCACACGCGTCTCAAGTCCTCTGAGGGCCGCAGCTGCACCTCGCTTGGAGCTCTGGGGGACCCGTAACAGCGCCTCCTGCTTACTCTTATTCCTCTTCAAACCTATCTTGTCAAGCTCCTGATCCAAAAACTCGTCGTTGTCTCTGAGAGCCTTCAGGAACCGATCAAGGTTGAAGGGGGGGCCTACAATCAGCTTCTTCAGGAGATCATCAGCGAACTTCTGGAGACCTAAATACACCTGGGGCGCCCCTGGGATCATGGCCTCGGGGATCCTGGCCCTCATGAGCTGCTCGCTCTCGGGGTCGGCCTCCTCACAGCGTTCAAGCCATCGATCGACAGTTGGGCGGAAGACGCGGACGAACGACCGAACTGCATACGGATCTCCCTGAAGGGACCCACACCCTGGCCGAAGAAAAAGGGGACCGTCGGCAGCAGGCAAAACACATCCTGCTCGTCGGAAACGCTGACGACAAAGATTCAAGTCCCTGGGCTGCACGAGAGTACGAGTGGCCTGATCGAGCTCCTCCCACTTCGACGACGCGAAGGCGTTGGTGAGGTCTTTCAACGAGTCGACCCAAGAATACCCCGCCTGAGATAATCGCCATGAGAAACACATGTTGGCAACGATCGCATCCTCACGACGACGAGCCCTCAGGAAACCGTGATCGCAGTCAGAATCGATATATTTCGGTCCGACGCGCATCAGGCCCTCGAAGAACCCTTTTCCCACAGGGTCAAGTCCATGCACTACCCTTTTTCCTTTCGGTCCAGGCGCAGCTGCCTTTGGCAGAGCAAAGCACTTGCTTACGTTCCACAAACCTGGAACGATTCCCCAGAAACGAGTCATGCAAAATATGTTATGCAACCACTTCCGACAATAAACTCCATCAGTGACCGTGCGGTCAGTACCCAGTCCTGGACGAGAATCATGTTGGTTACTCTCACGCTCAGCAGTCGTACGAATAGAGAGAAGCCACAATTCTAAAGGTAAAGACCATCCAGGAACACTGCGCCGCTTGGACGCCCGCTTGAAATATCGTTCAATCTGCTCCATATCAATAATTGACTTTGCCCATGCTTGCTGCATTCGTTCATCAAACTGTTCATGCGTAGGAGCAGGCCGTTTCCACAGCTGCTGCAATGCAGACATATCATCCCAACATACTCTAGAAGCTTGAAGCCCGCCATCACAGCCGGCCTGAGATAAATGAGCAAACCATTCATCACCAGTTGGAAGCATACCATCCAGACGGCTAAAATCTCGCCTGGCTTTACCATATCGTCCGCCTGCAAGTCGAAGTGAAAGCCTGTGTACACTGGCAAGATCACGACTTCGCCACGAGGCCCAGATTTCCTCAACAAGTTGTTCACGCCGTCGTTGCTGCTCAGCTTTGTATAGGGCCTTGCACTGCTTCGTCAATCGAGCTAGTTCTTCACAACATGCGACATACTCATCACTCGTCAGTCCTTCTCCCAACTTTGACCGAAGATCCCGTCGTCTAGCCAACAGATCCAACCGCCGTTGAGCAAGGGCCGATCGAGTCGATCCTGCAGCAGGCCCCTTTTTGAATACGTCAGCACCAGCGGTTCGTAGGATTTGGTCCAACCTGTCCAGCACAATATTAGGATCAAAACACGCATTCTCAGTATAAGGCCACTCCTGTTCAAGCAAGGGCTCCACTCTTCGCATGAACTGCTCCCTCAGCGGACCACCTCTGATGGCCTGCATGAGTTTGTCACGATCCCACTGTACCTGCTCCATTGGCCTGCCATCAGGCCTAAGCTCAGCAGCACGTTGGTGAGCAACTGACACATGTGGCACCTTCACCTTCACCAATACAGGTATGTGGTCCCGTGGTTCAGCACATTTGATTACTTGTAATCGCCTACCCAGTCTATGAATTGGACTGGCACATGTTACTTGTTCGGTCCAGTAGAGTGGTAGGGCGACATGATCAATCATCGACGTCCCCCCTTTGGAGCCATAATATGTCGGACAGAACGAACGGATTGTCGTCGGAGAGAATAATCCAAACTCATGCATGATCTCCCGAAAGCACTCTCCAGCCCCTCCTCTATGATGCTCTTTACTTCGGACACGCCCGACACTAGAAGTAGCAATATCAACCCAGTCCCCAGAGATCTTACTCGTACCCATACCGTCATTGATGTCCCCCATGAGAATAGGATGAACTCTAGCAGGTAATCCCCGAAGACACTCACGGACCCACTCCTTCATTTTTCCACAACATGTAATATACTGTTTGACCTGGGAAGCTCTGGAGGGCCTCGGGGGGAAATAAAGGACGATCACCATGTACAGGAAACCACCTCTGGATAACTCGACAGATAAACCTCGCCCTTGTAGAGGTCCAGGGGGCACAATTATTTTACATATGTTACGTTGAGTCCATGCTTTTGGCAGCAGCAGTGAGCATCCCGCCGCACGTGTCACGAACCCTCCTGCCCTCCACCCCGCATGGACAGCTAGTCGCTCCCCTAGATGCTGTATTCGATACCCTTCACGATCGTGCTCACGCAGCTGTGTACCTGGAAGACCCACCAGGTCGAAAGCCCCCAATTCCGAGATAAGGTCACTGAGACGGTCACCACACGCATGGAGAGGGTTGTAGACCATGGCAGAGAGAATTCGAGATCCCATGGCGCTGGCCGAGGACCCCAGTCGGGAGGGAGTAACAGACCATAAGATGTGATTTCATGGCCTAGTGTGCTGCGCGGCCCTGCAAGCCGTGGCGGCAGCTGGAGGAGGAGGAGGAGGAGGAGGAGGAGGAGGAGGAGGAGGGGGAGGAGGACAAGCTAGGTGCGCCCGCGTCACATCTGACATCCTACCCCTCCCTCCCATCCCTTACCATGGCGCAGATCCCCTCTCTACTCGCACAGTCGTATGTCGAGCAGGGCACTGATCTCGAGAGCACGGCATGGCATGGCGTAGAAGAGCACCGCGAAGCGTAGTATCAACCTAGCACTGCATTGCATGCCGTGGCATGGCGAGGGAAATGACGCCAGCGCTGCAGCGGGAGCACGAGTCGAAACGAGCGGAAGCGCGGAAATGAGGCCAGCGCTGCAGCGGGAGCACGATTCGGAACGAGCGGAAGCACGCCGGAATCGGCCCGCGAGGCTTCCCGGGCGCCAGAAGCAGAAATTCAGCATATTCGAAAAATGTGTGTTGGAATGGCGTTTCTTCGGCGCCGCCTCGGAACTCGATTTTCCGGCGCCGGCCGGAATCGGCTCCGGACCCGGCCTGGGCGTCCGGCCCGGGCGCCGGCTCGGGCGCCGGCCCGGGCGCCGGCCCGGGCGTCGGAATCGGCCTGGGAAGCCTCCCGGGCGCCGGAAGCAGAAATGCAGCATTTTCAAAAACAAAAAATGTGTATGGCCTTTTTTCGGCGCCGCCTCGGAACTCGATTTTCCGGCGCCGGCCGGAATCGGCTCCGGACCCGGCCGGAGCGCCGGCCCGGGCGCCGGCTCGGGCGTGCAGCCTGGGCGCCGGCGGAAATGATGCCAGCGCTGCAGCGGGAGCACGATTCGGAACGAGCGGGGCCCGAAAATGAGGCCGGCGCCTCAGCGAGAGCAGCATTTTGGAAAAAAATGCAAGCGAAAACCCAACTCTGGGGAAACCTGTGTAAAAAAACAGTACGCCGGGGGGGGGGGGCGAACACTCCCAAGACGTCATCAGGGGAAGAGGGAGAGTAGTATTCATATTGAGTAATTGTGGAGGAGGAGGAGGAGGAGGAGGGGGAGGAGGAGGAGGAGAACGGGATGAGGGAGGATAGTGAGAGGGAGGCGCGATGAGAAAGGGGCGGCGAGGGGAGGAGGCGGAGGGCGGAGAGAGGAGGGGGATGAGGCGGAGGGGGGAGGAGGAGGCTTTGACTGGACAAAGAGGATGACGAAGAGGAGGAGCAGGAGGAGGACGAGGAGGAGGACGAGGAGGAGGACGAGGACGAGGGGGGATGAGGAGGAGAAAGAGGAGGAGCAGCAGGAGGAGGAGGAGGACGGGGAGGAGGAGGGTTTTTTGTCAGCGATCCCCTGGGGGCCTGAACGATTTAAACAACACATCGGCACATATGGCCGATGACGACCAGTCCTCAGCCGCTGAGGAGGAGACGGAGTCGGAGTCGGAGTCGAAGTCGGAGGAGGAGGAGGACGACGAGAAAGAGGAGAAGGAGGAGGCGGCGGGCGGAGGGAGGAGGTGTTGGGCGGAGGAAGGGAGGTAGGGAGAAGGAGGAGGAGGAGGAGGAGGAGGAGGAGGAGGAGGAGGGAGGATCAGGAGAAAGAGGAGGAGCACTGGCAGGAGCAGGACAAGGAGGCCGAGGAAGAGGAGAAGCAGGACGTGGGAGGAGGACGGCGGAGGCGCCGGACGAGGCCCGAGCGAAGGGGAGCGATCGGGCCCTGGCCCGCGCCCGGGCGACAGCCCAGACCCCCAAGGTCATGATTTTTCACGACGTCGACCCCCAGAGGTCTCGACCCAATACCCAGGTCCGGCTTTGCAGTCTGAACCGATTCATCACGGTCCCGGGGACCAGCGAGGGCCCCCCATCGCAAAAAAATCATCCGCCGCCGTGATTTGCTTCACGACGCGAGCGGATCTGAGACCCACCCCCCCGCCACCCCTTGGCAGCTTTCCGCCCGCGCATCGCTCGGAGGCGTCGGACGGCCCTCGGGTCGGGGCGCAGTGAGCTGCTCCGCGAGCGCGGGCGCCGGCCGCGGCCGCGGCCCCGGGGCAGCACGGGGGGGGGGCAGTGGGCTCGGCCTGCAGGTGCCGGGGCCTGCTGCTTGTGCATCGGCCACGGGGTGTGTGAGGACGAGGAAGGGGAGGATGAGGAGGAGGAGGAGGACAAGGAGTAAGATAAGGATGGTGATGGTGATGATGATGATGATGATGATGATGATGATGATGATGATGATGATGGTGGTGGTGGTGGTGATGATGATGCTGATGATGATGATGGTAAGGACGACGACGAGGACGATGATGCTGAGGAGGATGATGGCGATGATTGGTGATGCTGAGGAGGATGAGGATGGGGAGATCGTTGATGATGGCGAGGTTGATGATGTTGATGATGATGCTGGTGATGATGATGCTGCTGATGGTTTTGGTACTGATCATGATGGTAAGGACGATGCTGCGGATGATCATAATGATGAGGATGATGATGACGAGGAAATGGAGATGATGATGCTGATGATGATGATGATGATGATGGTGATGGTGACGATTACGATGACGATGGCGATGGTAATGATGATGGTTATGAAGTTGACCACGATAACGATGGTGATGGTGATGCTGCTGTCAACGATGATGATGATGGTCTTAAGGATGATAGGGAGGAGGAACAGATGGAGCATAAGAAAGCTAAGGATCATGATAACGATGGTAACAAGGATGATGAGGGTGATTACTGTAATGATTCTGATGTCGCTGACAAAGAGGATGTTGCCGACGATGGTCATGATGCTGAGGACGATGCCGGTGATGATACTGATGATACTGATACTGAGCGTGACGGTGGTGAGGATGAGAATCAAAAGGAAGAGAGTGAGGATGCGAATGGTGAATGTGATGATGACCTTGATGGAGAAGGAGGAAATGATGCTGCTGATGGCGGTGTTGAAGATACATGTGATGATGATGGCGATGGCGCTCATGAGGACGAGGACAAGGATACGGGTGATGATTTCGATGAGAAGGATGATGAGGAGGATGCCTATGAGGAAAAGCATGCGGATGGCGATGGCATGATGACAAGGGAGAGGACGAGGATGATGATGATAGTGGCGGTGGTGATGATGATGGCATTAACGATGATGACGGTGATGATGAGGCTGATGGTGTTGATGCTGATGACAATGACGACGATGATGGCGAATAAAACGATAATGATGAGGACGAGGCTGAGGATGATGATGATGATGACGAGGAGGGCGAGCAGATGGATGGGAGGATGAGAACGAGGATGGGATGATGATCAGGATGATGATCTGCATCCTGGTGCTTATGGAGAAAATGATGCAGATGATGATGGTGATACTGATAAGCAGGGTGACGATAATTCTAATGTTGGTGCAGATGATGATGATGGTGATGCTGACGCTGCTGATGAAAATTATTATGTTGAGGGTGGTGGTAGTCATGATGAGCATGGTGCTAGTGATGATGGTAAGAGTGAGGGCGAGGACGAGGATGATGACAAGAAGGCTGCTGGGTAAGATAATGACGGTGGTGATGCCGGTGGTGCAAACGGTTATGGTGATGAAGATGATACTGCTGCTGATTCTGGTGACGATGTTGATAACGATGCTGTCGATGACACAACTGGTGCTGATGATGTCTGTGATGATTAGGGCGGGGACGAGGATAAGGCAGATACTGGTGATGGGGAACCTGAAGATCAGGATGATGATGATGCGGATGGCATTCGGATAGCGAGAATGAAAATAATGGTGATGATGCTGTAAGCGATGGTGATTGAGATTGTGATGGTAAGGACGAGGACGAAAATTTGATGGAGGATTACAGGGTGGTGCTGGTGATGCTGATGGCGGCGATGGTGGTGATAATGTTGATGATAGTGATGGCGGTGGTGCTGGTGATACTGCTGAAGATGAGGATGATGATGATGCGAATGAGGGCGATCATGATGAGCACGAGGAGGACGATATGTGTAACATATGGAAGAGGATGAGGATACGGCTCAGGATGGTGATGGTTGAACTGATGATAGCTGGTGATGTCGATGGTGATGATGATGCTGCTGATGATGGTGATGATGAGGATGATGATGGTAGTGGTGGTGGTGGTGGTCATGATACTGATGTTGGTGATGATGCTGTTGTAGTTGATGGTGGCTGTGACGATGGTGATGATGATCCGCCGGCCCCCTTGTGGGGCCACCAGGCTGTAGGCGCGGGTTCGCAGTTTCCAGTACCAGTTGTAGCTTGTAATTTCCAGTGTTACAGTTCTGCTTCTTGCTGGTTACTGTAACTAGTTGACTGACCGCGCGAGGGGGGGGAGGCCCAAACAAGACTTTTAGCACCCCCTGGGCGCGTTGTCTGAATTGCTGGGGGGGCTCGAAATCGACACCCCTCACGCAGATCCGCGGGGTCAGGGTCCAAAAACACAGGGGATTTGCCACATTTCTGAAATTCGGTGCCACCCCTCACGCAGATCCGCGGGGTCAGGGTCCAAAAACACAAGGGATTTGCCACATTTCTGAAATTCGGTGCCACCCCTCACGCAGATCCGCGGGGTCAGGGTCAAAAACACAAGGGATTTGCCACATTTCTGAAATTCGGTGCCACCCCTCACGCAGATCCGCGGGGTCAGGGTCCAAAAACACAAGGGATTTGCCACATTTCTGAAATTCGGTGCCACCCCTCACGCAGATCCGCGGGGTCAGGGTCCAAAAACACATGGGATTTGCCACATTTCTGAAATTCGGTGCCACCCCTCACGCAGATCCGCGGGGTCAGGGTCCAAAAACACATGGGATTTGCCACATTTCTGAAATTCGGTGCCACCCCTCACGCAGATCCGCGGGGTCAGGGTCCAAAACACAAGGGATTTGCCACATTTCTGAAATTCGGTGCCACCCCTCACGCAGATCCGCGGGGTCAGGGTCCAAAAACACAGGGATTTGCCACATTTCTGAAATTCGGTGCCACCCCTCACGCACATCCATCGCAAGGCGTGGTAACCCAAACTGCGAGTACTCCCTCGGCCCTTTAATCCCAAGGTGTGGTAACCAAGCTCGTAAACCATACACGTCTTACCAATCGCCCTGTGTGGTAACCCCTCTTGTGATCAGTTGGTTTTGCCGATTGCGAATCGGCCTCGCATGAAGTTCCGATACTGCTGCACGACAGCGCCAAAGCCTCATGACTTAGCTCTTCCATGGCCCATTCTCCGAGAGAGGGGGCCGGCGGCAGGGGGCGAAGCCCTTACGGATAATGATGATCAGGATGGTGATAATGATGCGGATGACGAACAGGCGGGGATGATGAGGACGATGCAGATGATGATGATGATAATGATGATGACGAAGATGGTATTGCTGATGCTGCTGGTGATGCAAGTGCTGGTGCTGCTGCTTCTGAGGGTGATAAAGATGATGATGATGATGACCAAGACAGCGGTGATAATGACGACGACGGCCACGACGACGATGCTGATGATGCTGATGCTGATGATGATGGGGTTGCTGCTGACAAGGTGAAGAAGAGGATAGGGATGATACTGGGGAGGAGTTAGGAGTAGTAGTAGTAGTACTAGCATCAGTAGTAGTAGTAATAGTAGTAGTAGTAATAATAATGGTAGTGCTCGTAGTAGTGGTCATAATAGTAGTAGTAGTAGTAGTAGTAGTAGTTGTAGTAGTAGTAGTAGTAGTAGTAGTAGTAACAGTAATAGTAGTTATAGTAGTAGTAGTAGTAGTAGTAGTAGTAGCAGTAGTAGTAATAAGAGTCATAGTAAGAGTAGCCGTCGTACTAATAGTATAAATAGTAATACTAGTAGTCGTCGCAGTAGTTGTAGTCGTAGTCGTAGCAGTAGTGGGAATGGAAGTCGTAGTAGTAGTAGTAGTAGTAGTAGTAGTAGTAGTAGTCGTAGTCGTGGTAGTAGTAGTAGTAGTAGTAGTCGTAGTAGTAGTAGTAGTAGTAGTAGTAGTAGTAGTAGTAGCCGTAGTAGTCGTAGTAGTCGTAGTAGTAGTAGTAGTAGTAGTAGTAGTAGACGCGGTGGTAGTAGTAGCAGTCGCAGTAGGAGAAGAAGACGCAGTCGTAGTAGCAAGCATCGTCATGGCATTCGAAAAATTATACTGCCACGACGTCTGCTAATGCTACTGCTGCTGCTGCTACTACTACTACTACTACTACTACTACAACTACTACTACAAGTGCTTCTCTGCTACTATTGCTGATACTACTACTGCGACTACTACTCATACTACCCATACTACTATTACTGGTTCTACTATAACGACCACTACTACTACTACGACTACTACTACTACTACTACTACTACTATAGCGGCGGCTGCCCCAGCTACTGCTACTGCGCCTGCTGCTACTACTACTACTCCCGACTACTGCGATTACTTCTGCTACGATTACTGGCGTTGGTATTGGTTTACTACTAATACAACTACGGCGACGACGACGACAACACCACAACTAATATACCTGCCACTACGACTACGGCGACGGCGACGACGACAGCTAACACTATTACTATTACGATAACTGCTACTACCACGGCTACCACTACTACTGCTACTACTACTACTACTACTACTACTCCTTCTACCACCACCATTACCACTACTACTCCTACTCCTACGACCACTACTACTACTACTACTACTACTACTACTACTACTACTACTACTACTACTACTACTACTAGTACTACTACTACTACTACTACGACTAGCGCTGCTGCTACTACTACTACTACGACTACTACTACTACTATCACCACTACTACTACTACTACTACTACTACTACTATCTACTACTAGTACTACTGCCACTACTACGACTACTACTACTATTACTACTACCACGATTGCTAGTACTACTAGTACTATCTACTACTAGCGCTACTACACCTACTACTACTACTACGACTACTACGACTACTACCACTACTACTGCTACTACTACTACTACTACTACTACTGCCACTACTACTACTACTACTACTACTACTACTACTACTACTACTACGACTACTACTACGACTACTACTATTAC